GCGCCACAGCACTGGCGAAAATTTAAATTTGTCGACTGGAATTCCTTCGGATAAACGATGCTCTACTGTATTCGCTTTTTATCATCATTAAATATCTATATATTCAACTCTAACATCTAACCTTTTTTTTTAAAAGTTAAACTTTTTCAAAATTAATTTTTTATTATTATTATAATTTCCTGTCTATTTTGCAATATTAGAAAATATTTAATATTTCTATTAAATTTTAAATTTACAATAAAATAAATTATAAAAAATTGATTCTAGAAATTCCTTATTTGTTTAAATTCATTATATTAAAATTGTAAATTGTTACTGGAATATTTCTAAATAAGATAGAACAAATCTATTTTAGAAATTATTTATTTGTAAAGAAAAGTTATCTGTTACCTGGAAGAAGTCAATCATTTAAAACAGCAAAGTATGTAATGCATCTCTCTATTTCTAACTTCAAAGTCTGTAATGCATCTCTCTATTTCTAACCATATATGTGCAGAGTAATAAATATTATAGATACAATCTGACAAACAAATAAAGTCTATAATGTGTGTGAGAGTCATATTCAGCTTGGCATGGAATACCTCAGGTAACCATTATAAACTTATTATAATTATATGAAAATTATATACAGTCGATCCCCCTATAAGACAGTAGATACGTTCCGTTCTTTATGAATCAATTTTGTAGGAATCACAACCAATCACAGCCCGACACATGTGAAGTTTACGGACTACGGCTGTTTGAAAGGTTTTCTTCCATAAAATTAATCAATTCTAGACTAATCTGACTCAACATTTCCAAAATACGTATATTTTTTTTTGGAAATAATCCATATAAACTATGCTATAAACAAAAAATTGTAGGATTACTTACTGAGTGTGCACTATTCGACATCGCCGTTGCTCAAGCTTGTTTTCGTCGCGACCGTGATTTCTGATGTTATTTTTCTGCGAAAACTTCGTTGAACTTTGGAGACGACATGTATATAAATAATTTTAATCACCGTTGAATAAGAAATGTTTCTTTCACAAGAAATGTATAAAATTACAGTGCCTATTTTACATACTGTACAGACAATAGCTCGCCTAAACTCTCCATAGCATGGCGCTAGACAGCGGAAAGTATATATATAATTATAATAAAGTTACAATAAATTAAGTTAATATATAATTATATATACAGTACCTAATTTATATATAATTTATATGTACAGATGATACTAAACTCAATTTACCCGCCTAAACTGTCCATAGCGAGGCGCTGGACGGCGGAAAGTAGTTCGGCTGCCTGATGACATTTTACGTAATTATAGGAGTTTTTTTTTTTACCGTTGTTTACGGATACCGCCACAATTTTTGTGTCGTCTTAATCGTAATTATAGGAACCCGTCTTATGGGGGATCTACTGTAATTATAAAATTACATGAAATTATAAACTTCAAAGAAATATGACTGTTGATTAAGTGGTATTGGGCACTGTAGTCATTTATATGAAAGTACGTCAATTAATTCAAAAAATTCCACAAATAAAAAATAAAATTTTTATTATATGAATAGCTGATATAATTATTTTAGATAAGTGAAGATGATGTAAAGGTTGTGGAAATTGTATCAAATAGAAATCATAAGAGCAATCATATTAATCTGTAGTATTGTATTGATAATTAAAATTGGGTAACAGTAATTAAATTGGAAATGGAATTAACAGAAAATGCTTTCAAAGTTCATTTAAAAAAATTCCTTTTGTAGAACTTAATAAATTTATCCAGATATATTTAAAAATAATTGAATAAAATTCCTGTTAATTCATTATTGAATGAACTGCCATATGAATTAACTGCAAAATTACTAGGTACTTGCTGAATTTCATATTTTTGTGTATATATTGTCTACTTGGACTTTGTTTATTAATAGGAGTTATTATACTACTGAATTTTCTGATTAGCAAAGGGAGGGAATCAAGATATTTTGTTTTTTGACTTTTCACTGATTCCCTCCCTCCCTTTGCTAATCAGAAAATTCAGCAGTATAATAAGTCCTATTAATAAACAAAGTCCAAGTAGACAATATATACACAAAAATGTAAAAAGGACAAAGAGGTAAAAAGAATTCATAATATTTTATTTAAACACTATAATTTTAATAAATTAAATAATATATCTTAATAGGATAATCAGCATACATTATATATATGAGAGAGAGATATTTTTTCAATATCTATAGTTTTTCAAAAACTTATTATTTTAATGATTTAATAATACATTTTTTGGAAAATATGCAAATCTGTATTAAAAAGTGGATACTTCTATAATATATGAGAGAGAGATATTTTTTCAATATCTATAGTTTTTCAAAAACTTATTATTTTAATGATTTAATAATACATTTTTTGGAAAATATGCAAATCTGTATTAAAAAGTGGATACTTCTATAAAATGTTAGCAAAAAATATTTGCGTTAAATGTGTAGTTCTAATGGATCACCAAGGCGATCCAGAACATGATGTGGGTAAGAATAATTGAGGACTGTACAACGAAATTTAGAGAAAAAAAAACCTTTATATATATATATCAAATTCCTTTTCGCGTTGACCCAATAAGTACTACAGAACATGAGCTATCGGCTTGTAACAATCTCATACGACTTTCGTCTCCTTAATATTACACACACTTTCGAAGTTCATGAATACCGATATCAAATCGCTCACAATGAATGTTACAGACGAATTATATAGCAGATCCACTACCCCGACATTTCATATAGGGCAGTCTCCTTTGTGAGTGGACATCCGATTGGAGCTGCGACCATGTGGAAACAAAAAAAAATCCTCCTTGGACTGGAATAATGGGCCACGAAAAACAGTTTAATGATGTTCTTTTACCCAACCTTAGTCAGATAATTCCCCGACGCATACCGAGTCCGATGTAACCTGATTCCTTCACTTACTTAGTTCAATCCGCTCTAAATTGCCGGTTCTTGTCCATATCCGGATCGAGTCCTGACTTCCTTTGTCCTGTTGGTCCCTCGTCTTCCCTTCCGCCGTCCAGAAATCACACAGAAGCAAGCCAAACTCTCCTTTCTTTCCTCACAGGTCGCCCTTTTTATAACTTCCTATACGCTCCTCCCTTCACCTCCACGTGGTCACCAAAGGGGCCAATCAAGGCACTGACAAAATCCACCATAAGGTGGCGCGCGATACAAAACTTTGAAAAGAACAAACAAAGAACCCGAACAAAGGTGTGACAACACACGGTATATAATAAAAAAAAATAAAATAATACACGTGCCTAGCACTACAAATGATTGAGTAACTTTTTTTTACAAAGAACACAATATTAGATACTGTACATTATCATATTAATTCTATAAGCATTCAAATAATTCAGTTTAAGAAACTCAACATGAATGTAATCTTGAACATCAGAAATCATGGTGTTTAAGATTATATTCATGTTGAATGTTAAAGTTCTAAACAAATATTTTCTATCTGCAACTGATGAAAGTTACTGGCATGACTTGTTATAACAGTAACCAATATTCTAATTGATTATGATTATTATTTTAAGATGATTCAAACTATCATTTTATTCTATTTACACACCTCAAAAGTGAAGTAACAATACCATGAAGGAATTTGTGTAGCCACATGCACATTGCAGGACAAGTAGAGATGACAGAGAGAAAACCATATGATTAAAAGAACAAATAAAGATATGCAACAGACACCTTTCAGTAATGAATATGGCTCCCATGAGCAGCTATACAGACCACTATACAGCAAGGCATACTTTTAATGAGATAATTAATGGTTTCCTGAGGTATTCCATGCCAAACTGCATCCACTATGGTACATGTCATCTATGATATGTGGCAGTGGTCCCTGTTGCACTTCACATCAAATGCGGTCCCACAAGTGTTCAATTGGAGAGAGATCCGGCAAGGCTATTGACTATTGGATGTGAATTCTGTTCAGGCTGGTGAGAGTTCACCATGTGACATGTGGTTGAGCATTGTCTTGCTGGAATAGCATGTCGTGTGTGGTCGAATTGTGGGGCCAGTGGCCAAATCACAGAACCCACAATTCATGTTACATACTGATCTACTGGAAATGTGCACCAGGGCTATCTGTTGATTGAACATGATGCCAGTGTGACACTCAGTGAAAAAAGCTGGCATGTAGTTTTCCCTGGGATACTGCCACACCCATCCATGACTGTCATTCCTCTACAGACAAACAAGATTCACCTGTAAACATTACCTGATGCCATTCAGTGGTCCCGTTGTGATGACGATGACACCATGCTGGGCTTTCATTCCTGTGTCGAGCAGTTAATGGCACCCCCATTGCTGGTTACCTTGTGTGCATCCCTACTTCATGCAACCTGCTGTGAATGATTTGGATGGACACTGTTTGTCACCATCAACAGGTGCTGTTGACAGTGACAGACAGCTTCAGATGTCACATGTCATGGTAAATTGGTCCCATCAGGACATTCAGTGAATTTGCCAGTTTCTGTGCACTGTTGTGATCCACTCCCTCTTTGGTGTGTTCATAGATGTTCCTGCATCCATTGTGTCACACATTGCTGGATGTGGACACAATGGACTGGTAGTATTCAGCTGTCACAAACCATTACTGATAGCATTTACTGCCTGAGCTGGCTGCTGGTCTTTATAGCCCAAAACTAGGTACCAGAGATGAGAGAGAGATGCAAACTTAATCATTTGCATATCTCTCTCATCTCTACTGGTCCTGCAATTTGCATTTGACTATGTGCATTTCTTCCTGGTGTTACAATTTCACTTTTGAGGAGTGTATAAACAATATAACATATATGGCTTTTTATTTTTAAGATTAAAAAATGTTTATCTTTTATTAATTTCAAAATAAAAATTATTTTGCTTATGTTTATATTTAAACATAATAAATAAATAGCTGTTTAAAAATGGAATAATTATGTGCTTTCAAAAATTTTAAAATTTTATTTTGTCTATGAATAGATATTGCATAAAGAAGAATTAGGTGCAAGTGAAACTGAAAGGCAAATTATGCATCGTATGGAACAGTTATCCTCTACAACTCAGAAGAAAAGATCATCTGAAAAGAGTGAACATGATCTTGATGAAATTTCACCCAAGACTAGTCCAGCCAAAGTAGGTTAAATTTTTATGAATATAATTTTTTAAATTTAATTTTTCACAAAAAGAACAATAATATAAAAAACGATGTGCAAAAAATGAATTCATGTTTAAAAACTTTATTATTTATGAATTGGTGAAAATTTAACTAAAAAAAATTCTGAATATTAAGATTTTGAAATTTCTTGCTTTTATTGAAAACTGAAATTGTATAAATGATATAGGGCATGAAGATTATTATTAGATGAGATGTCTGATGAGTTATTTTAAAAATTTATAGTAAAAACTTAATATTTTGGAATAGTAAGTAAAGAAACAATTTTAAGAAATGAGTATTTGGACATAATTGAGTAATTTTATTCCAGTTAATGAAATAAAGAATTATGTGAATTTGTTAATAATTATAAATCTGAGCTTTTTATAGATGTAGATAATGAATATAAAATTATATTGTAAAATAAAAATTGTTTTTAAATTTAGGAAATATTGCTTTTATTTTTTATACTTAAAATTTGTTATATGGAAGATGAAACTTTTGAAAAAAGTCAGTAATATTACAGTTTATATTGAAATATAACAAATAATTTTATTGGTTTGATACAACTTTTGCTAATTTTACAACTGGAAATGCACCAAAGACAAAATAAACAAAACTGTAATTAATTAATATGTTTGATGAAAATTTATTTTTGTCTTTGATTGATTCTTAGTTGTTAAAATAAAAAAAATTACTTGCAAGTGAAACTATATTTTACAAAGAGAAGTTAATAAAAATATTTTATTAAGATTTGTTTATCTGAATTGATTATGTTTGCTAATAGATTTTCAATTGTACATCATATTTATAAAACATTCCTTATATCATTTTATCTGAGTATAGTGTTGGATTCAAAGTATGAATTGTGTAAATATTTGTACAAATAAAAAATTGTACTCCTATATGTACAAATGTTTTTGAACTTATATTTTAAATAAAATGATAACTTTTTTATTTAATTATATTATCAGAGTGTACCTAGAAGAGATATACCAACTCCTCCTCCTCCTGTTGATACCCTATTATGCTCTCCTAGTACTTCTCTTAAAACAAGCTCTCATGGTGCTAAATTTGTGCGTGTTGTAACATCTGATGGACGCCAGGTATGTTATTTGTTTTAATACATTAGTGTTAGTAAAAAGAAATAGGACTATGAGTACATTCACTACAATTTATCACATCTATGAGAATATTCGGGAGTTATTTCAGAATGACAACATTAATATACATCTATGGGAGACTTTACACTTTAGATGAATAATTGCATGATCATATCTAAAAGAAAGGAGTCTCAAAACTAAATATTCTAAATTATAAAGAAATAAAAACACAAAAATAGCAGATGAAATTTTACCTATTATACCACCTGCATTTGAAATTCAGCTATATTCAGCTAATATCTTTGCCTATGACAGTCAGTTGCATAACTAGAAAAAAGATGTGATGTGCCTGATGTATCACAAGGAAATTATATTTAAAAAATCATAAAGTAATGAATATTAGCATATTTGTTGCTTTATATAACTAATAAGAAACTTTAAAGTTATTTCATTTTTTAAATAAAAGTATAAATTTTAAAAACACATTAAAAACTTACTCTTTTAAGACTGATTTGGAAAAATACACCAAATTTAAAATGAAAAAGTGTCAAGATGATTAAGCTAATTTCCATTTTAAAAAATATTTTTAGAATGTTGTTATTTTTTCATCTATACATAATACAACCCTTTTAATATTCCAGTCAAAACTAATTTTGGATTCAAACAAAATCACATTTTCAAAATTACAAGATTGGATAAGGCAAGAATTTTTAATTCCACCAGCTCAGCAACGAATAAAATATGGATTTCCTCCTCAAGAATTGCATCCTCCAAGTGATGGACAGAAAGATAAAGGAATTATTTTGTCACATGGAGAGAGAATGATTGTAGAAGTTTTGCCTGAGAACAAAGAACAGAAAAATACAGCACAAAGTACAAGTAAGTATATATGTTCTGGTGTATAATGGTCTGTTGCGTAAATATACACAAATATTAAATAAATAAATTGTTCCAATTTAAATTATTCTGCTATATCATCTTAGAATTCATTACTTTATACATAATGAATGGAACAAAAGCACTTAATTTAAATGTAAAATAATAATGAATTATACACAAAAACATGTCTTAACTATTTAATAAAAATTTATTGCCAGAACAATAAGTATAAACTTGGAAAAATTACAAAAAAAAAAAAAAAGAATTTTTTATGGATGGATGAACTTTAAAAATATTTTTCTTTTTAGTCCCTTTGTACACCAGCTGGAAATAACAATTTCACAGCAGAGTTGACTTTTATTTGGAGGCTTTTTTTTAATTAAATGTATAATTTTTATAAGCTTTTATGCTACCACCAGAGGGTAAACTCTAATGTTTTGTGTGCCAAAGGGAACAAGCCTCCAAATAAAGGTCAACTTGACGTGAAATTGTTATTTCCTGCTGGTGTACAAAGGGACTAAAAAGGAAGAGGACACTTTAAAGTTCATTCATGGGGGAAATTTTTTTGTAATTTTTCCAAATGTCTTAACTAATTTTTCTACCATAATTTTTAAAAACCAATCTCAATTTGTTAGTTAAAAATCATCATCAATGCTGAAGGGAAAGATAATTTTTTAATTAATTACTTCAAATTGAACATACGGTTCCTGGATATGCAATTAGATCAGAAACTAACCGCTATCAATTGTTTCCTTTTTTTTTAAAATGACTACTTAAATTTTACTTTTATATATTGAATACAAATGATAATATTAAAATGCTATTTCAGTTAATAAGCAACCAAAATAAAAATTCATCTATTATAAATGATACATGGTATCAAAAATTTTAAAAAATTATTCAGTCTTTTGGTATTTATGTGTTGCTCCTCAACTCAACTGAAGACAATTGTAAATATGCATATTCTTTAATGATGAATACTGCTTTGTCTCAATCAATTGTTAAAGATCAAGATTCCATTTTAAACTCGACTTATTATTGGTATCTGAATATGTTGCACTTTCCATCAAATTCGAATATTATGTCAAATTAAATATTAAGCACAAGTTAATTCAAATTTGACTTAATTATAATTCGTTACTGATTGGTAACATTTATATTGATTTCTCAAAAAATTGTTATTGGTGTAAAACCGAATCTTTTAATTTATATCATATTCTCACCATATGTCCAGCAATCGAAGAAGCACAATGTAAATTTAAAATTAAAGAAATATTTGGAGCTAATTATGAAAATTTTCGATCTAATCTTGACAATTTACCATTATGTAAGATGTATAAGATTCATAATTTTTTTTATTCATATTTTAAATAAGTTGAACAATGGTCTTGATTATTGAATAGTAAATATGTTATGTAACACTAATTTAATGTAACAAAATTAAACAAATATCCTTGTTATTTTTGTTAATGCCCCCTGTAACAAGATTTTCTTATTACATTAAAATGATTGAATGATGATAATTTTTTAATTAACTGAACTATTATTTAATTGCATTGTAATTTGGTAAATTAAAGAATAAAATATATCCTTGCAAATTTTCAATTGTATTACAATTGGTTTGTGAACCAACCAGTCTAAAACTTGAACATCACCTTTAAAAATCATTCAAAAGTTGAATTTTTTGAATATACTAGAGCATTCTCTTTTTGAAAATTGGGTATATTAGTAATTTCTCCCAGTATTGTAGTAAATAGATATCTAGCATTTTTTTTACTATATAGCATTCACACATCTTGTACAAATGTTAGTTTAGTTAGTTATACTCTCTTGTAGATTTTGCTTTCAAGTGGTCAAATAATTTATTTAACTACTTAACAGTGAGATCTATAAAAATGTTTGATTTAAATGTCCATTCAGAATTAATTTCAGTTTGATTTAATAGAATTATTTCATTATTAAGTGCATTAAAACATGGAGAGATAAATACTAATGGTGATAAAATTTTATTTTGTCAGAATAAAGAATATATTTTAAATCTGTGTTTATCATATTTAAATAATATAAGGATCCTTTTTGAAAGAAAAAACTGAAAGATTTGATTAAGTTTATTACACACCATAGATTTTAAAAAATTTTAATTCTGATGAACATAATTCAGTAGAAAGTTTTAGCTATTTCTAATTTAATTTAATTTTTTTTTTGGGGCTGAAGTTATATTTTATATGAGCTTTATTTATTTTATATAAATATATTCGCTGAAGAGTTAATACATTAGCCTCTATATAATCCATGATTACAATAAGAAATGTTATCAAAATTAGCAGGACTCAAAACATACAATACATTGATACAGTAATTACAGTAAGAGAAGTTTCATAAAGATAAAAATTCTAAATAAGTCTTTTCATGCTAACAGATGTAATATGAAATTATTATTAGTTGTAATTGGTTTCAACTAGTGCTTTAACTTAATCATTCTAATTGCTATTTACTTTCATTACACTAGTGGTTTTTGTCAAGTTGGTGGTAGACAAACATTTACTAACATTAAAATCTTCTCTAATTATATTTACCCTGTTTTTTTAAGTGAGTCCCAGTCTACTGTATTTAAATTATTAAATTGCTATGTTAATAATAATAATAATAATAATAATAACTCTCCCGTGGTCACCACCTGGTCGTGATGGGAGAGCCCAGTAATTTTACTGAACCATAGGGCAATGCAGGCTGGAGCACAAGCTCCTGGTAGGGACACCCATGCCAGTAAGGTCTATGGGGAGAAATGAAGCTAAGAGTGACCACACACCCACATTCTGTGGAGAAATTTATGATGGTAGTAACCAGATCAAAGTATGATACCGGCTCGGACGTCGCCCGGGTTAACAAGGTCCGCGTTCGTGGGTTAGGCAGAGGCTCACGTTCGAAAAATAGGCTCCAGTCTCCCTTGGTTACCAGTGGCGAAAGCAGCGCTGGCCCAAGCATGGCTACTGCAATGCCCTCAACAGATGTGAGGAATCAACCTAGCCTTGGTGTTTCTGTGGCAATGCATCCACAGACCACAAAGGCTGGAAAACCACGCCAACGGATGAAATGGACAACAGAAATGAACGAGTTTATCATCCGCACTTACTACACCATCACAAGACTCGAAACAAACATGACAGCATACAGACAACAACTACACCACATATTCACACAACAATATCCTCACCTCACTGTCACCGAACAAAGGGTTGTTGATCAAAAACGAACAATTATACACAACAACCTTATCCCACAAACAACACTTGAACTTATCAAACAACAGGTTGCTGATCAAATACATCAACAGACAGAAACATTTAACATTAATGAAGATCACGTAACCTGTCAGGATAATCCAGCAACAAGCACTGATTACAGCACACACACAACAAGTACCACTAATGATACTGCAGGCACTTCCCCATCCATCACTGATAACGTAGACATAGAATTAGTTAATACGCTCTCACTTATATTTCAGGAAACACTCATTAAATATACTGGTACAGATCCCACACAAAGACCACGAATACCAAAAATCAACACGTCAAAGGCAGTAGGAAAAACACTAGATTATGTAAACACTCACTTACTACCAAACTACATTCATTCAATTTCTACACTTACAGACATTCATACATTAGTTTATGCTGGGGCAGTCACAGTAGTAACACACCATGGACTGAAAATACACTCACAGACAGACACACACAAAACACAATTCTATCATAAGCCTGCCTGGCAGAGAAGAATAGAAACACAAATAAATGACATTAGACAGCAATTAGGCAGGCTGACACAATACACTAAAAACAACATAACACCCAAATTAAAGAAACAACTCAAAAACATTTTCAAGAAAATCAAAACACACACAAAACACGAACATCACAACACACACATTACAGAATACATCGATACACTAAAACAAAAACTCGCAGCCAAAGCACGTAGACTCAAACGATACAAAACATGTACACTACGAAAACAACAAAATAAATTATTCACAAACAATGAAAAACTTTTCTACAGACAAATCAGTACCAAAACAAACACTGATACACAGCACAGTGGCACACCAACAGAAGAAGAACTCACAACTTATTGGTCTTCTCTTTGGTCCAATGCTGTTACACACAATGCTGATGCAGGCTGGATCGAGGAGGAGAACAGAAACTTGCACAACATACCAACTATGCCCTGTGCTGAAATAAACGTACACGACATTCGCTACGCTGTTAACAGAACACACAACTGGAAGACACCTGGTGTAGACAACATTCACAATTTCTGGTACAAAAAGTTTACATCACTGCACCAGGAACTAGCTAAACATCTAACACACATCATCATCAATCCACAAGACATGCCAAAATTTCTTACTCAGGGCATCACCTACATGAAACCTAAAAACAACAAAACCACAGACCCCACACAATACAGACCAATTACATGTCTTCCAACACTCTACAAATTATTGACATCCTGTATCACAAACAAAATATACAAACATGTTGAAGAACACGACATTCTTACAGAACAACAAAAAGGTTGCCGTAGAAATCACAGGGGATGCAAAGAACAGTTACTCATAGATTCAGTCATTCTACGGCAAGCACACAAACAACACAGAAACATACACATGGCATATATAGACTACAGAAAAGCATTCGACAGTGTTCCACACAGTTGGCTGCTACATATTCTACACATGTACAAAATACATCCATCACTCATTGCATTCTTCGAAAACACTATGCAGCACTGGAGAACAACACTACATCTCAGGGTTAGTAACACTTCCATACAAACAAACGAAATATTCATTAGGCGAGGAATTTTTCAAGGAGATTCCTTGAGTCCTCTCTGGTTCTGCCTAGCCCTGAATCCATTATCCAACATGTTAAACAACACGCAATATGGCTACAATATCAGACATGAAAAAACAACACAGTTTACACTGTCACATCTCATGTACATGGACGACATAAAACTTTATGCATCCACACAAAAACAACTTCATCAACTCCTACAAATCACACATTCATACACTAAGGACATACAAATGGAGTTTGGCCTAGACAAATGCAAAAAACTTCACATAGAAAAAGGAATCCTGAAGAAAGAAGATTTTGCACTTGGAAATGGAGACGTTATTGAATCCATGGAAGAGGGCGAGTTCTACAAGTACTTAGGATTCCAACAGGCCAAACTAACAGAACATACACAAATAAAGCAACGATTAATTAAAGAATACCAAAGTAGGTTAAACGCTATACTTAGAACACAGTTAAATGCAAAACACACAGTTAAAGCAATAAACACATATGTCATCCCAGTACTCACATACTCTTTTGGAGTTATACATTGGACTCACACAGATCTCGAGCAACTCCAAAGGAAAACAAGAACAACACTTACTAAGCATAAACAACATCATCCTAAATCCGCCACAGAAAGATTAACCCTTCCACGTAAAGAAGGCGGACGTGGCCTGATTGACATAGTTAACCTTCACTACAAACAAATACAGTCACTGCGAGAGTTTTTCTACAAGAAACAAGAAACATCACAGTTACATAAAGCAGTAACTCTAGCAGACTCAAATAACACACCATTAAACTTACACTCACAACATACAGACATGACACAACATATAAAAAGCATAGACAACATTAAGCAATCATGGGCTCAAAAGGCTCTCCATGGCAGGCATCCTTACGACCTGGCCCAGGATTTTGTTGACAAAACTGCGTCAAACAGCTGGTTAGATCGGGGATGCCTCTTTGGGGAGACGGAAGGATTCATGATTGCCATACAGGATCAGGTCATAAATACTAAAAACTACAGAAAACACATACTCAAAGATACAACACTCACAAATGACACATGCAGAAAATGTCACATCATGCCAGAAACTATACAACACATCACTTCTGGTTGCAAGCTCTTGGCACAGACAGATTACTTACATAGACACAATCAAGTAGCAAATATAATACACCAAGAGCTTGCAAAGAAACACAAATTGGCAGACATCCACGAACCATACTACAAGTATATTCCACAGACAGTATTGGAAAATAACACGCACAAAATGTATTACGACAGAGCCATAATCACAGATAAAACAATTTACCACAACAGACCAGACATCACACTCATTGACAAACACAATAAAATCACATACATTATAGACATAGCCATTCCAAACACTCACAATGTACAAAACACATGCACTGAAAAAATTAGCAAGTACACAGAACTTGCCCAGGAAATAAGGCATCTATGGAGGATGGATAGGGTAGTTATTGTACCTGTTGTTCTTTCCTGTACAGGTGTGATACCACACACACTACACAAAAGCCTGGGAACATTAGAATTGAGTAGAAATACATACATAACACTACAGAAGGCCACTATATTGAATACATGCCACATTGTTAGGAAATTCCTGAATACAGACACTGACACACTTATTTAATTTTAGTTTTGTTTTGGTTGCTATGCCTTGACTCTGGTCCGGCATAGTAAACAGCCACCGGTGTGAACCGAGTAAAACTCACTAAACTCAACATAATAATAATAATATATATATATATAAAATAGTTGTTGTTATTTAATTTATAGGTAATAGTCAAGATCCTTTAGATTCTGCATTACTCTCATTATTAATAACTGCAAATATTTCTGGAAGTACAGTTTGGGAATTTGTTCAGAAACATCCTCATTTTTTTGATTCGGGTGGACTCTTTTATCGTCAGGCCGAACGGGATTTAGGTTTATCAGATGGAAAGCATTGTCATTTACCACTTCTTCCAAATAAGGTAAATTAATTATTATATAACATCATCCCAAGATGATTTTCATTTATATAAAAATATATTTGGACATAATATTATATAAATAATATGGTGGTCTTGATTATCCAGCTTAAATGGAATGGTTTGAATAAGAAAACTAGAACCATTCAATATATATAATATGAGCTATATTTGAAAATAGTCTGTAAATGCATTTATTAATTTTCGTTACTATACAGTAATCACAATTTTAAGAGATCTTATAATTTTTCTATGTAATAAATGTTGTAAAATAATTTTTAAACATCCACAACAAAATTTAGTAAAAATAAAATGATTTAATGATATATAAATCAATACTTTTTGTATTTTATGTTATTTGATGGAAATAAATTTTAATTCAATTTAACTTTTAGACTTTCAGGTATAATGCTGCTCAGGACAGATTAGAATTATGTTTAGAACCACATGGACATTTTCCAGTTACAGAAAAGATAGACAGTCTCATTAAAAAGATTGAAACTGAAAAAAAAAGTGGGGATATGTTTAAATCTGTTGCAAGTGGCGTAATAAATGTCGGATCTAAACAAACGACCGTTCCCACAGCTTTTCAAGGTACAGGACATGTACTTAGAGCTCCAATTGATGGTTTAGCTGAAAAAGAGGAAGAAAAAATTATAGGAACTAATCTAGAGGATACAGTTGGAGATAGTTCTGCACTTTCTCTGTTGCCATCCGATAGAACAGATGAATCAAATACTTCACAAAATGTTAGTATTAACAATTTTGTCATTATCAAATTTGCATGGGACTAAATAAATTATTGTTTTATCAATATTATATATTATACTATCCCGGTTAAAGATTATATTTCCACATATACTTTTTTGCATGATGTAGAATTTGTAATTTATAATGCTTTCTTCAGTTATTGAAATTAAGTAGTGAAATTATTCATTAGTAGCATACTACTTTATTGTAAACAATTGAATTATAGAATTTGCTCAATTAATTACAGCATTCCAATAAATTTTAGATATGGAATATAAAGATTTCATAGATTGTTGAACAGGTCTAGCTTAAACATTATAAAATACAGTAGAGCATTGATTATCTGAATACCAATCAGCCGAAACATCGATTAACCGAAAGCGTTCCAGCCAGCAAATTCAAATTTTTGCTAAGGCTGTGGCATTGCAGCACTCTTCACCTCCCTGCCAAACCAAACTGTATGCCTAGTTTAATGTATTACATTATATAAACTATGTATTTGTAGGAGGTGTGATACAAATTATATACAGTACAGTTTTGTGTTTAATATATTTTTTTGTAAATGATCAGTTATCCAAACAACCCCAGTCTTGAATTATCAATGCTCTACTATAATTTATGTAAAGTACATTGCTGGGAAGAATTTACATCCTTTTATATGAAAGTGCTGAAAACAACAAAACATTTGTACAATTTGTCAAATAATTTTATTCTTATAATTATTTATAAAAGTATTAGTCATAACTTAATGTTATTTTGTGATCAATACTTATTCTTCAAAGTGTCACTATAAACTAGAACAAAAATATTTATGGATCTTATTTTTACTTCTGATCTTATTGATGCTTTGTGATATTTTAGCATTAAAGTTTGGTTAAGTTGTCATATCTGGCATTGTTCAAAAAATAAATCTGCTAATTATAAATTTGTATTTTTATTACTTTTTTTGAGTTCATAATTAGTTTTGAGTATTTTATTCCTAAAAACTCATGAAATTTTATTTGAATCTGAACTAAATGAAAACAAGTTCACTGTTTCATAAAAATACAAAAGGAAGAATGCATTACTACTTCTGACTGGAGCCTAGTAGATCCAAGTAAGAAACAGTTCCAACCCAGAACTTCCCATCTCCATTAAAGAATCTTAATATATATTATGTTAATTGTTTCAGCAGAATTTTTTTTTCAATTTAGAAAATGCTAACTGTTGGGAAACCAATCACCTGGCACTTTGACCTAAACGTGAAACATACTTAGTTTCTGATTATCCTCTGACTTATAGCGACAGAATTTCAAATGATTGAATGCACTCTACTAGTATCCATAAAAAACAGCAATTTTAGATTCTCCCAAATTAAACTATGAAAACTAACAATGCATAGAAATTTCATTTCAAAGAATTGGGTCCTAATCATCATTTATAAATGAAGCATGCAATGCCATGCCATTTTTTTCTAAATGTTTGCATTTAGAATTCAATTTTTCAATAAATGTTTTCTGCCACAAAAGAATATTGTGGCGATATTTAGATGATGAATTTAAAGTGACAGAGTGCAAGTCTTGTGACTTTTGGCATGTAAAATGTTGTGGCTTATATCTACATCATTTTGATAGTCCAGAGAATTTGTAACCTAGTGAGTTTTTTTTACCATTTTATTGTAAAATTGAAATGAATTCATTCATTAGAAAAAATGTTTTTTACCTATTCTGAAAAGTTTCTTTTTTGGCATTGCACCCTTCAAATAATAACAAATAGCACAATTTACATTTTAATATTGTTTCATAATTATGAAACAATATGAAAGTGTGTTTCTAGTACAGAAAGTCCATTAGACCACAAATATTTACATATTGTTGTATTAATAAAATACCAAAAATCTTTAAAAATGTAATTGGTTCTCAGATCCCACATTATAAAGTGTAATTTGCAATACAGTAATCACTAACAACATTAATAAGATGCTTCTTTGACTGAGGTTTATTCCATTTTAGATTTGTGTATTTATACAACAGTTATTTAACGTTAAAAAAATCTAGTAATAAGCAATAATGAAAATAAGTTTGCAATGAAGTGTTGTGGATCAAATGATACTATTTTATTACATTATGAAAAATGTTGAAACTTGATAAGAGAAATAATAAAGCTTGCCTGAAATGAATAATTTGTCATTTTTTGATTTTAGGATACAAAGGAGGCGAGAGATAGTAGTAAAGAAGTTTCAGAACCGATGGAGACAGACAACCTGTAATTAATAAGAAATAATTTAATTCTGTGATAAAAAGTAATGTACATCTATGTGTATATGTATATACAGTTATACAGCCGGAATATCTGTATAAATATGCAGTTTTTTCATTTGTGTAATATTATAAGAATGAGAAGTCCATCCTCAAATATTTATATATGTAAAATTTTTTAAGTTCGGACAATAACGAATTTTAAATTGTACATAAAATCGAAACATTCGACGTGGCCGCCCACACCGCGACGGAGGTTTCAAAAATAATTTACTACCTTCTATTGATTTTTACACTATTTCCATTGTAAAGACTGTTTTTCTTTAGTAAATATATTAAAATTTTGTATTACTTTTTTTATTAATAACAATGATCTGTGAATTTTAATGTTCTGTTAAAAGTACAATTAATAAAACTTATCAATTGCTCTAAGATTATAAATTTGTTTACTTAGAAACGATACAAATGCATTGGCCGGCAATACAAAGTAAACATCTGTAGATTTTATTCACACTTACACAGATTTGTGACATGAAATACTGGGATTTTTAAATCAAATTTGTTTTTCCATTCACTAAATGTGTATTAAAAAGAACTAAGATGAATATTACTTTTACATTATTCTGAAAAGAACACTACAATTACAATCAGAAATTTTACTTCAATTAAGTGACTAGCATGAATGTCAAAGCACTAAACATTATAATCTACTGTATTACATAAATTTAACATTTAAAGTCACCAAAACAATCTAGATCCTTTAGTAGATAACAAAAAATTTACAGATAGCAATTTTCGGTTCGAACTCGGACATCATCTATATGTGTTGCAATATCAGAATTTCCAATCTCAATGTTCCGGCGACATTTATTTACAACTATATCAATTTTAGGCACAAAATTTACACGGGATTATTTCCTCGTCGGTACGGTGATCCATCTAATGTCGCGGTCACGAGACATCTCCAGGAAGACGCCCCGCGGCGATTCATGACCGTGCATCCCCGCCGAAACTCGCGAAGGCTTCCTTGTTCCGTATTCTTACGTGACGGATGAGGAACGAACGTGTTATTTTCTTTAATTTTCCTTTCGCCGCCTGCATGGGGATGAAGAAATTTCCAACAATGGGTCAAGAGTGATGATTTTAAGTTCAATGGAATGGAATATTTTTCATTTTGTGATTTTTATCCTTCTTTGGTTTCGGTGGAGGGTTGCGACTGCTGAATGCCTTTCCTTGTTTTTTCTCCTTTTCTCCAAAGAATTATTTCCTGTAACAATTTATCAAAATTTAGTATCGACTAGAAAAGTAATTTACATATAATTTTGTTTTTCAAACCAGAATCAAAATTTCTTTAAAAAATTAATATTCCATATTAGTTTCAATATATAAACAATTTATGAAATGAGTTCTTGTAATGTTCATACTTTCTATTTTTTTGTCAATCTGATGGACTTACATAGACAGTCCTTTTTAATTTTTTCTTTAAATGAAGCACACTGGAACACTGATTCTATAAATGGACATTGAATAGACATTGTTAAGCATACATTTCTTAAGAAATTCTAATTTACAATTTGCCCTTACAATCTTCAATGCCAACTTCCTATACTGCTTATAACTCTTGGCTGGTGTCACCATATTACTAACCAAATATCATACTCAGCTTTTTAAAATACTTAATGAATCATCAAACACCTGATCTGAGAAATGTTTACTAAACAAACACTAACGTTTTCGACCTAATAGAATAGGCCATCTTCAGGTGTAGCTGAATTCGAACATATTTAAAAATTTAACATTTTAACAACAGAATGTTCAAATATTTTAAATTTAAAATTAAAATATAAAAATTCTTAGTCAGTACCTTACACTTGGATGCATCTGTTTTTTTGTTTTATTTTATTTATTTAATATTTTCATTTTTCTCTTATGTAGAATTTACATGCAGAAGCTAGTCCATCCACATCCCTGGCATTAATACAACCATCATTTAATTTACTTTTATAAATTTCAAATTTTTTTCAATCGCAGAACTGGAAAAACGAATCTCAGAATTCAACAATTTAGAAAGGAATTTCTTCAGATGGAAAACTGTTCTTAAAGACCTTACCTACAGAACAAAAAGCACTGAAATGAAACAGCTGAATCACACAAAACAATGGTTAAATTGACAATGATTTAGTTCTAACATGAGCTGACAAAAACAACAACAAATCCTTAGAAGATTACATTAAGAGAATGGAATGTGAACAGGTCAATGAAAAAATTGATACAAATATAGACAGAAGGGTTAAAAACTTGAAAGAGTACCATTAATGTCCATATTAACTTTCTTTAAAGGAACTCATAATCTGATGCCAAGATTATTTACATTTGCAAAAATACATAAGGCAGGCAAAGAGGTTAGACCTGTAGTTGAGAAATGCAGAGGACCCACATACATTCTTGAAAAACATTTACATAGATTCATTTCAGATGAACTAGGCAACAATGTTCTCCATTGCACAAAACCCAACAAATGTAGTAAAAGAATTACAGGAATTAAATTTACTTGATGATGAAATTGGGTCTGTTATGGATTTTGAAAACCTATACCCATCCATATACATAGAATCCTGCTATGAAGCATTAATGGAATTTATGCTCCACATAAAACCAGAAGTTACTGTATTTGCAAACAATATGGTGGAATTAGCCAAATTGGTTTGCTGAGTTTAATACATTATTACAGGGCAAGGATATTGTATTTAATAAGATAAAACATATTATTGATAATTTTAGCATTTCCTTTTTTCTTCTGAAAAGTTTTTTCACAGTTGCAACTTGATTTGATTATGATTAAAATTCCAATTTCATAATGGTCTGAAATAAGAACCACTTGTCAGAATGATTTCACATTTTGCGTGAATATCCGTGAAGCAATGGAATTTTTTTTGAAGAAAAAATCTAGTGGATCTGTGATGCATACTGGTAGTATCAAAAGGTGCAAATTACTTAAACGTGACATGTACACATTACAAGCACCAGTGAAGCAGCTATTTCGCAGGCATTTTGGAAATGACAAAATAATCAGCATAACATCTGCATACCGTGTGAATTCAAATCCTGTTTCGGGCAATTCTTTTCTTCTAAATTAATTATTAAAATATAAATTTAATTATAATTATTAAATTTAGCAAGATATGGTGCCTAATGCCTGCCCCCTAGTGCCAAATTACTTAGCTAAAGCCAAATAATTGTTGAATTATATCTGGTTATATTACTACAGTAGAGCCTCGAAAACTCGGCCTAATGTGGACTGAAGGGTGGCTGAGTTTGTGAAAATGCTAGGTTATCGGGAATGGGGTTAAAAAAGGATAAGTATGAGTGTTTCCTCAGAAAATATTGTACTGTACTTGTATGTATTGTTTGCTTGAGAATACAACAGAGAATAAACTGCGCAAATACCCTTAAACAAAGGAAAAGTACGTACTTTATGAAGGCATAGAGCCTTTACTATATGAAAATGAAAATTAATGAATACATAGTGTACAGTAATTTACCTGATAAGACAGACCTCAGAAAAATACTTTATGAGGCATAAAGCTGTCTATGATGAAAATTTTTTATTCTAAGGTTATTTTTGCCCTGCCAGGGTGTGGTTGAGTTATCCGGAGTGCCGAGTTTTCGAGGCCTCGGGCCACGGGAACTACTGTACTACTATTAAATGGTATCTGTATTTCTAAAATTGATATTAAGTGCTAAGTTTTGCAGTAATCAAACAATTCTATGTTTCAGAAAGGAATGTAAATGATTACAGTTGTGGTCTGATTGCATGCCAGATAATGCCATCAGAGAATGTCCTAAAAATTATTACCAGTATCCTATATAGACCCATAGAGGTTCACTGTGTTCAGTTTTCTGTGTATCTTGTTTGGAGGTCTTTGAATGCCAGGCATGTCTATACAATGCAGTCAAAGACATTAGACACAGCTGACAGACTTTAAAAAAAGGAGGGAAGTGGAATTGTTATTTTGCTAAATTACTTACCATCTATTCTAACATGAATGTGACAAAGTGTCGAGGGCAGTGGATATGTGAGAATACACATACACAGCATTAAGGTCTGGATGTACTACCACACAGACCATCACATAATAAGACGACTGCAAGCATGGCCCCCACATGGTAGTGACTGACTGAACCCTAGTCAGGAGGCCCAGTATGAAGATAGTCAGCCTAAATAACCTAGCACTTCTGTGCATTGAAAATGATTTAGCTAAACAAACAAATTTTAGTGAATGATTGAAAACTTTGCTTCAGCAAAAGCCAGAAAATTTACTGTGAAATAATTTAATCGATAGTTTCTTGGGTTTTGTCTTGATGTACTTTTTTTCAATTTCTTTTGTTCTTTCTGTTCTTGTGTTGGTTTCTATTTTGTTTGTTTTTGTTTTTAATGTCATGTTAGTCATTGTAAAATTTGTCAGTGTAATTCCTCTATTGTCTCTAATAAATTTAATCTATGATTTTGTAAAGGTGTGCTTAATTTGTGAATGAAAACAGTAATTTTTTTCATTTACCTGTCTTATCACATTCCAAAATGGCCACGGGACAGAGTGATTAGGTCCCTTGCCTCACACCACTAAGGTCTCAGGTTTGAGTGGGCTCATTAATGATCCTGGTCTGGGGATCTGCTGTAGGATGTGGAGGCCATGATTGTAAGACAAGTAAAAACAGCTGCATCCTCATCTCTGTCCATCTTCAGTCTGATAGAAGCCTCAGTTCTTTCCATGTCATTTGAAGTAACTAAGCATCCTGCCATTAGCACACCAACATCATTGGCTTCATATGAAGTGGAAGGTGTGATAGAGAAGCATGGACTGTTACAAACTGGCAGCATATTGTCTGGTTCTGTTTGGGAATGAATGACCACCATATTAGAGCAAAGAGGACTTCAGATGAGGACTAACTTCACTGTTGAATGGTACAAGATTAGCCATTGATGAGTGGAAGGGATCTGAAGTAGCAGTTGCAATATCTGTAGGCAAATCTGTCACACAATAGCTTATGCTGATTGTATGCTTCCAGGCTCAACCATATCATTGCATGTATCCAGCAAGAGTTACAAGAACAAATTAAAGATCTGCCCATCTATTGTTAATTTCTGGTGTAATTAAATTATACAGATCAAACAGAAGTTCAGATAGTCTTTAAAAAAGTGGTTTTGCATAACATAAGTAAATTAAAAATAAACATTAAGTAAATGGACCTGAATAATTGTAAATAAATCTATCAACATGTCATATTTCATTTATATTTTTAAACTACATTTCAAAATAAACAGGTGTTCCTATCTTTTAAAATATTCTTAATTTATTGAATTAAAACATTAACAGTTGACTTATACAAATAGCTTTAAATCAAATTGAAAAAAACATTTCTTGATAAACCAATTGCATCTGACAAGGAACAGATTTAGAGAGAGAGGAAGTGTTAACTTTTCTCCTGTAAGATAATTAATTATTAATGTTTATTATAGATGTGATTTTTCTATTTGGCAAAAATCAACACACTACCATTTAGTAAATTTGGTTCTATTACTCATTATAATTTTTAAGATCTTATTTAAGTAAGATTACTGAATTATTCTATAAAATTACACATTTTCATTAATGGGATGAGAAAAAGTCCCAACTGCTTTAAAGTATATTATGATAAGATAAGTTTTGATAAGATATTGAACTAACCATTATATATATTATATATCATTTTAAAAGATTTTATTTGCAATAGTATAGATTTAATGAACACAATCATATGGCTCGTTGTTGGCAATGTGCCATAAGTTTGTTTTGACAGACTTGCAATTCTTTTGGATGGCTTTTGTGTCAATTCTTTTAAAGTAAAAACAAATATCCAACAAAATCCTCAATTGGCCAGCATTGTGGCAAATTTGACAAATGTTCTTTGGGTAAAAAGGAATGTTTTTGCTTTGAGGAACACTACAGCCAAGTTTTCATGGTGAGATAAAGCTTTGTCACGCCAAAAGATGAATTCATCATTTTGAGGATCCTTAAGAAAAGGAATTAGAATTTTCTTTATACATTCATTTGATATGTGATCATTCGGTGTGAGCATTGATTTCAAGGAATTCCTTCTTAAAAAAATGGGTTCAAAACACCTGCTAGTGAATGAAATGACAATGTGAGCACAACTTCTGATATAAATTTCTTCTTAAATTTGTACTTTGCTTTGAGAGGTGTTCAATTTTCATTGCTTACACAATAA